TGCCTCCCCAGTTTTGAAACCAGTTACTCGCCACATTGTGACCCTGAGCTGCTTGCTTCAGGCTCAGGGGCAGTGCCCCCCAGGTTTGGTAGCGTGACTTCTGGCCGAGTAAAAGTCAGCTTCACCTTGCCTGCCACTTCCCAGTCTGCGTTGGATCTTACCGTATCTCTGTCAAAAAGCAGCCTCGGATTCTGTTACCAAGTCACTGGACGTTGGTGATTGCGTTCAACCTCCGTCCCCCAACCCTGTCACCGGGCCTGGCTATTTCTGGCGACCAGCTCCCATCCCGAAGTTACAAGTCGCCTCACTGAGGCCTGTGGGGGTTGGGGATGGGATGGGGCCTGCAAGAGGACAGTCAGTGTAGGTGACGAATGACAGGTCAGGAAGACGGGGGCTGATTCAAAGGAAATAAAATGCTAAGACCTCCAGAACACTCCCCCTCCTCCAACCTGTGGCCAAGGTTACCCTGGGGGTGGGCAGTTGGTGATGAATGCCCCCGGACTTCCTTCCTGCCTCCCTATGCCCCAGAGGGCTCCTTTCCCACCCTCTGGCCACCTCTCACTCACACAGGGAGAGGGGCACAGGAGAACAAAGGAAGTCTGAAATCCACAAAAGGGGCAGGACCCTTCCCCTCCCTGGGCACCACTTGGACTCCCTGCTCCGTGGAGGAGCCTCGGATCCTTTCTCCCTCTCTGTTCTGTCCTTCAATGAAAACCTTTGGGCTCTGGCCTGGCCGTCTCCTGGGTGTTCATCTTCAGCACTGGGGGATGGGACTGGAGCCTCATTCTCAACTCCAGCGGACCATCACGAGCAGACAAAAGACACTCATCTCGTACAAGGTCTTGTGTCAGGAACTGGGGACTGAATCCACACATACGTAACAAAGGACGCTGCTACGGTTTGGTCTCAAGTGTCCCCCAAAGGTTCATGTGTTGGAGGCTGGGCCCCCAAAGCAGCGATGTCAGAGTGGGCTCTGAGCAGGGAATGGATTCTGAGGGGCTGGCAGCATTATTGGTGGAAACTTTAGGGGTGGCCCTTTTTGGAAGAGGAGGGTCACTGGAGGTGTGCCCTTTATGCCTCTATCTTGTCCCCCTCCCTCCCCTGCTGGTTCCTGGCCGCTGTGAGGCGAGCAGCTTTCCCACCACACCCTCCAGCCATGACGCAGAGCCTCCTCACAGTCCAGTCACTTAGGGACTGAATCTTCTGAAACCTGAGCCAAAATAAACCTCTCCTCCTTTAGGTTGTTTTTCCTGGATACTATGTCACAGGGTGGAAAACATCATCTTCTTTCATTCTTATCATCCAGGAAGTCACCAGGGCTTTAAAAGCTCTGTACCAGGGACCAGGGCAGAGACCAAATACACACGTCTTCTTATGTCACATGAACAGAACATCAGCTTCCTGTGGGGCTGGAGAGAACGTTCAGGGGTCACTGCACCAAAATGTGGAAGGAGTCCCGGCCCCTGGCAAAGGCAGCTTTTCTTGCAAACAACATTCCACGTCCTGGTTTGTGAACCGCCTCGCCATGCCTGGGAATAGGCACTAGGATCCGAGTAAGAAGTTTCTGCAGAGCCTCAGCACATGGAGCGAAGAAGCAAAGTAAAGCTCAGGCCTTGGGGCTGCAGAGCCAAGTCACGGGCCTCTCAAGGTTCATTACTGCCCAGGGAAATGTTTAAAATACCAGCCTGAGCAAACGCCTGAATGCAGACCTGTCCTCTAGTTCCACACAGGGATCATCTGGCTCTCCCTGTCCCTTCTAGGCCACACGGTCTGAGGTGAAGGAGAGATTCGAGTGCCCTAGACTGAGGGACCGTTTTGCCTTCTGTGTTCTCTCTCTCTCTCTCTCTGAGTCACTCTTCCCTGCAGTCACCTTGGATTCCAGGAACAATAAGTCTGACGGATAAACATCTTGTGACAAAGAGCCAAAACTACCCCCCAAGCGGCAGCAGGTTGCTGACAAGACTCTGCCTGGCCAGTCCTGAGGTCATGATCAACCAGACCACAGCCTGGCCCAGAGCTACCCAAGCCCCCACCTGACCCGTGTCCCTTTCCTGTGTCACCCCCGACTACCATCAGCACCCTAGAGACAGGTGTGTTCTCTCTGTTCTTCCCAGGGCAGCCACACGGAGAATAACCTCCCTCCCTCCCTTCACCCCAGCCACCTCTTGGATGGGCCTTTGGGGCAGGGGCCAGACCTGGACCTTTGAGAGCCCTGCAGCGAAGCCTTGGGCCCAGTTCCAGTCACAAGACCTGCACTTGGGCAGTCAGGCCGACTGAGCCACTGGGCCCGAGGGTGGCACACAGGCTTTCCATCCTGAGAATCCCCGGCCAGGCGACAGCTGCTGCTGGAACTTCATTCTGCCAACACACTCACATGGACCCGCTGGGAGGTGCATTTTGACAGAGCGCTGCCCCCACAGTCGTTAGCTCCTTCCACTTCACACTTGTGGACAGCAGAGGGGCCTTCAAAGAGGTCTGCCCTAGGAGCTAGGAATGTGTCACCTCCCCCTGGCGAAGGGGCTTCACAGATGAAGGATCCTGATGGGGGGGCTGATCCCCAATTGTCTGTGGGCACAAGGGTCCTCATGAGGTAAAGAGGGACACGGGAGGGTCAGAGAGGAGCGGAGCGTTCCAAGGGAGGATCTGTGGTCCTGGAAGACAAAGGAGCCGTGAACTGCGGAGTCCAGGCTCTCTATAAGCTGCAAAACGCTGAGAAATGGATTCTCTTTTAAAAGTTCTGGAAGGAACAGAACCCTGCAGACACGTTGATTTCAGGACTTCTGACCGACCTCCAGCCTCTGAGGTGATAGGCTGTTGTCTTAAGCATCAGATTGTGACAGAGCAGCTCAGGGGACCAGCACTCCTGTTAGATCGGCATCATGCCTCCCGATTCTTCACCTGTCGGCTGCAGTTTGGATCCTGAGTGTCCCCCATGGTCCAGGGCTGCAGGTTTGCTTCCTGGGGCGGTGCTGTTGGAAGGTGGTGGACCCTTTCGGAGGTGGGGAGGTCTTTAGGTCACTGGGGGCGTGACCTTTGAAGGGTGCAGTAGGACCCCAATTCTTCTTCCTTTCTTTTGCTTCCCAACCATGAGATGAACAGTTTTGACACGCGCTTCTGCTGAGACGCGCCTCTTGACACAGGACCAAAGGAGTGGGGCCCAGGAACCACGAACTTGAAAACTGTAAGTCAAAATGAGCCGCTTCTTTTTCTGCGCTATTTGGAATCAATCTCTTTATCAGCTCTCAGGTATCTGTTACAGGGATGGTGAGCACACAAGGACCAAGCTGGGCGCACACTTCATGGATCAGCAAAACAGGAACAGAATGATGGCTCTGGTGAACCCACTTTTCTGATGGAAAATGAGCCACAGGCCAAAGCAGGGATCTGGGCTTATATAGGTCATACCGAGAGGTGTGGGCACTGGGGAACTTGGGGTCTGTTTTACTGGGTGAGATGGAGGGTCTGGGGTCAGTGGTCAGTATCTGGAAAAGGGTGTGTTTTGGGAAGGATCAATGCTTTGGTCTCTTCCCAGAGACAGTCCTTCCAGACCTGATGGTATCTCCCCCCGGAGCCTGTCTTATCACTGGAAAAGAATAGATTGGAAAGGAATCAATGGATCGCCTTCTCTCTCATTTCCTTTCCCCAAGCCCCACTATTTTGGGGTTGGCCATTTTCCGTATCCTATAGGGATAACGCTTTCTCATATGCATGTCCTTTTCTGTTTGACTGATTAGTTCCTCGTGCAGATGGGGTGGAGTCTCCCTCTTGACTCTGGACTCTGGGTTTGGCTATGTGGCTTTGGCCAATGGGACGAGCCAGAAGTGACAGGAGAGCAGTTTGAACCCAGAGACTGCCTGTTCCACTGCCGTCATGAGGACGTGCTCAGGCTCACTGACTAACTGGCGGAGGAGGATGGACGGTGGAACAGAGCTGCCCAGTGACCGTTTCCCAGAAGGCAGCGGCCCCAGCCTGCCATATTTAACTGAGCCCAAATCAGATGATCGCCTAATGACCCCGATGGAACCCGGAGCCAGAATGAGAAATGACTGTGCTTGAAGCCACTGAATTTGGGGTCCGTTTTGGTTACACAGCAGTAGTTGTGTGACACATTGCTTTATGAGCTAACGGTAACAATTTGGAAGGCAGTGCTCCGGGTGGTTTTTACACCATCTCCTTGTAAGACTTGCTGCTGCTGATGAATGGCCCAGCCATGACATTTTAGGCATCTCATTTACGGCTGGATGCAATCCTATAGTCTAATCACACACAGATCAATGACCAGGGAAGACAGCAGTCAGGCCCTTCTCCACTCACATTCCCCGTCAAGCACACAAAGATACCAGTCTGCGGGACTCCTTTTATTAGCAGGTTTATTGCGATTATAAAATATAATAAGTTATATGTACAGAAATAGATTAAGTGTCCACAATTAAGACTTCACTGCTAAGGGCCACAGACCTAGCCTGGGGTGCTCACTGAATGCTTTCACGCATTGCAAAATTGGACTGTTTCCAGACAAAATGGCAGGATGGAGAGTCCCAGCTTTGTCAGTAAGAATCATTTTGGCCTCATTGATTATTAATTCCCTAGTGTAGGCAAGAATCTCTATGGAATAAACCTTTCTTGGATTTGCTTCCAAATAAGTAAATGACAAGGACCAGCTCCTGAAGAATGGCGGGTTGCGAGCCAATGGAGCATGCTCCATGTTCACTGGGCCTCTGGCCTCCAATCCAACAGAGTGAAACGAGGCCCACCTCCAACCACCCCAGAACAGCCTTCCCCAAGAACACGGTTAAAGGGGGGTGTGAGCTGTGATCTGGGGCCTACTCTCTCATCGCATGCGACATTTTCAGTCTAATTAAGGGTAGACTCTCATCATCATTATGGCAAAGCAGGGGGAAAGGGGCACCGCAGGATTCCGAAGAGGAATTAAAAGGATAATTAAGCTTTTGCTGCGGAGTATTTAGCTTGCAGGATACACCAAATAGACTCAGAAAAAAAAAAAAAACACAGCAGCAAACAGACACAGTAAATGATGACATTAAATATTCAGGACCTAATTATGATCCTCTCACAGTAGGTTCTACATTCAGCGGTGGGAAATTGCTTGTTGGCTTTAAACATACGACTGATTTCCCCCAAAGCGTTTGTTCAGTCATGCGACTTATGATTTTAAAAGCATCGCTTTATAAGTCAGGGACTTTATTTTCATTTAGTAATCACCACAGTCAGACCTATCAGGAGGGGGCCCGGCCGCAAGCTCAACATTAACCCCCCGGTGTGATCACTACCCTGGCCCCCCCAGCTCTTGCCAACTGCAGGTGGAATTAGAGAATCTGCCAGAACAATGCCAGTTTATTAGCTTTATCTCTATCAATGTTGAGTCGAACATCGCAGTTATGTGAAGATGCCAGTGGTGAGCTTTCCTGTTTCACTCCCCTTCTGCTCCATGCCCACACTTTATGTGCTCCCTGCAGTGACTCCAGGCCAGGCGTCTCCCGCAGTGTTCCTTTCTCTTCTTCTCTTTCTTTCTTCATTTGTTTTGACTGGGGATTGGACCCAGGGCATGGTACCACTGAGCCACACCCCCCGGCCTTTGAGACAGGGTCTTGCAAAGTTGCTAAGACTAGTCTCGAATCTGAGATCCTCTTGCCTCAGCCTCCCAAGTCAGTGGGATGGCAGGTGGGTACCCACCACTCCTGGCTTCACGTTCTGTTTTGCCCACCTAAGCCTGACTTTTCTTGACTACAGAAATAAAGGCCAAACTCTCGTTTGCGAAAGTCAAACTGAAGCTCAGGATGGAGAAGAAAATGGCCCAGGACCCAGTCTCAGGCTCTGCATCGCACCCCGGCTCCACTGTCCCTGACTGGCTCAGACAGCTGAGTCTGGAAACCCTCACAACAGGACCTCATCTGCCCGTCTCGGACGCTCTTGACATCTAGAACTGTGTACGGCTGAACTCTCAGGATGTCTTCATGTACTTAAGCAGAGGTGACCACTCGTATCCGTTTAAAGCAAAAATATCGCCTGACCACATCATAACTTAGGCTGCTTGTGTTCTTGAGTGTTGCTGCCCCCGAGGGTCACGTTGGCCTAAGGACGAGGGTGGAAGGCCATTCACACATGATCTAGAACGCTCACTTCCTAGGCCTAGGAGGCCTGCAGTCAAGAACCCCGTGTCTGCGTGGTCGGACAGACACACGACTTGCATGTCACAGTAGGACAGAGTGAGAGCTTCCACTGGACAGCCTGTAGGAACGAGGGTGACCCCGAGGACAGCTCAGCTTATCCCCGTGAAACCACAGGGACACCAGCAGACCATGTGGGAATCTGCTCTTGGTAACCACGTGGCCACAGTTTCTGAGCTGTTTTCTTCACGGGGCCCTCCTTCATCCCCCTGTGGGAAACCACACTTCTTCGCATCTTCATTACCTTTTCTCAGTCTCCCTCTTTTAGCTCATTTGATCTCTTCTGGTGAAGCGGTTTGTAGACGTGTCTTCCGTCTCCCACTGAGTGTAAGCTCCTTAAAGCAGGGTCAGAGTCTTCACTTCTGTGGTCCCCATGTGGTTTGAGTCCCCAACAGAGTCTGTTGAGTGGATTTCTGGTAGGCTGGCTGGCCGGCCCAATCGATCAATAAATATGCGTTCTGTCTGGTGAGGTCAAGTGGGGAGCTGAGCCTCCAGCTTTAATCCTTTCTCTTTTGTTGGACTGGAAGACAGGCCTCACTTCCCCTTGCTCCTCGGAGCAGCTGAAGGCATACAGTGACACATCAGGAAGAGCCCGGATTGTGGCAGGCGGATGGCACCACTCACAGCTGCAGAGGCCTTGTGGGTTGCCTGGCTCATCCAGGGAGGAGAGTCCGAAGCACGCTCCTCAGGACGCAGTGGGGGGTGGGGAGGCGGGGGGCACCACCCCGGCCCACTCCAGGATGTCTGCACACAAGGACTCCACAGCATCCAGCCGCTCAATCTGCACCAGTTTTGTGAGCAGCTCTGGGATGCTGTAGCCCGCCGTGCTGATGCGGTCGAAGAGCTGCATGCCATCTGTCATGCCCCCAATCTCGTCCCTCTTCAGTCCAAAGCTTTCAGCAAGATGGCGCCAGGTTTTCACAACAGCCTTCTCAGAGTTGTACGTGGAGCTGAGCATTCGGCTTGTCTTCTCGAGGCAATCAAACGGCAGCTCTGTGGGGCTGAGACCTAGGAGGGCAAGAGCTACAGTCAGACTTCACAGCGCGCAGCTAACAGAGGCTCAACACCACTCAAAATACTTAAAAAAAAATTCTACCAAATGCTTAAATGAGAATTAACACCAATTCTGCACAATCTCTTCCCCAAAACAGAAAAGAAATATTTCCCAACTTGATATCTAAACTAGACCAAGACAGTGCAATGAATTGCATGAATAAAAATACAAAATCCTTTACAAAATATTATCAAATAGAATTCAACAATGCAACAGTGAATTATATGCCATGAAAAGTCACATTTATTCTAGGGATACAAGGCCGGTTTAATATTAAAAAATAGTGTAATCCGTTCACAAAATTAATGTAAACCATTTAGAAAAAAATCTAGAGCTTCATTATACTTAATGGTTGAAAAATAGTTTGATTTTCCTTTGAGATCAGGATCAAGGCAAGATTTCTGCTCTTACCACTCTTATTTGACATGGTACTGGAAGTTACAGCCAGAGCAATAAAGCAAGAAAAGGGAAGCAAAGGAATCTAAAAGAAATCCCAAGAAATCTAAAAGAAAAATTCCATATCTTATAAGTAAATTCAGCAATGTCACAGGATATAAGAGAAATATATAAAAATCCACTTTATTTCTATATACTAGCAATGTATATAAAAATGCATAAAGTATAAATCTAACAAAAAATATGTTTAGAATGTTCTGAAAACCTTGCAATGCTGATGAAAGAAATCAAAGAT